GCAGCGCTTGTTAATAACCACCGCTTGACTGACACTTTACTGATAAGAGAGAGACTGAGAGACTGACTGACTGTTCAGGACCCTCCAAAATTAAGGCATACCTAAATCAGAGAACTTAAGTGTCAGAAAGATATGTGCTGCAAATGTATAATAGGGGAAAGTAGAAGATAATTAATTTGGGTCACTATTAGGCCTGTCAGGGTCAGTGAAAATAATGTTAACTGGCCTGAGTTTCTTAAAGGGGACAGACAGTGCCCAGGAGTGGGGAAGGGGATGGGAAGTAAAAAGAAAGGGTGGCCAGGTACAGCGGCTCACACCTGTAATCCCAGCACTTTTAGGGCCAAGGCAGGCAGATCTCGAGGTCAGGAGTTCGAGACCGGTCTGGCCAGCATGGTGAAACCCTATCTCTACTAAAAATATAAAAATTGTCTGGGGTTGTTAGCACAGGCCTGTAGTCCCAGCTACTCAGGAGGCTGAGGCAGGAGAGTCACTTGAAGCCGGGTGGTGGAGGTTGCAGTGAGCTGAGGTCATGCCACTGCACTCTAGCTTGACGACAGAGGAAGACTCCATCTAGAAAAAAAAAAAAGAAAAGAAAAAAGGGCAGAGGTGGAAACATGAAATATATGGTAGGGAATCATTGGATTATATTTTGTAGTTAAATTTGTAAATATGTTTTTTCATTACAAACATCTATTTCATTGTTTACATATACAAACGTTCACTGTAAAGAAATTATAATTTTAGACAGTGGCTCTTGGTGATCCTAGAAATCCGATTCATTCAGGCAGGGTCTGTAAGGGTAAGTTAGCTGAAAGAGAATTAGACCTAGGTAGAAAATTGAAATAGCACCCTCAGTGACACACTTAAGCACTTTGAGAAATTCTATCTCCATTCCCCCGAGCTCAAAATGAGAGACAATAGCGCCTCCTTAAGCAGATCACAGTTCAGAAGTTTAGAGGTATTAAAACTTGTGCTTTCCTTTCCTTTTCTCCAAAATCCTTGCTTTCGCTTTTTTATTCCTGGATATCTCTGAAGGTCAAGAAGCATAATTTCTCATGGGAGTTCCCTGAAATGAGGAAGTTAAAATACAATGGCATGTGATATGAAGCTGCTTTTCTTAGATATTAAACACAATGTAGAATTTGTACATGCAAAGGGATCTTAATATTGGTAAGGATCATGAAAACTTGACAGTAGCCTCACCACCTTCATCAGTCCCTGACCCAGAGTAGACCTCCCAATAGACAGTTAGTAAATGAATAAGTTAAATACCAATATTATAATGCCTCCATGAAATGGAAGATTAAGCAAACATTAATAAAGAGGATGCCCGTCTATATTTGTTATCAAGGAGAGATACATATAGAATGATCTCATTTCATTCAAAAAAAATACCCACCCCCCATGTAGTCCCTGCTACTCAAGAAGCTGAGGCACCAGAGTCGTGAGAATCACTCAAACCTGGGAGGCGGAGGCTGCAGTGAGCCGAGATCGTGCCACTGCACTCCAGCCTGAGCGACAGAGTAAGACTCAAGATAAAATACACCCCCTGCCTGCCAAAAAAAAAAAAAAAGGAAAATAGCTCATCTGTCTATATTTGGGTGAGATTATAACAACAGTCCACAGATTGATCTCCTTGTCCCATTCCTGCTGCCCTCTAATCCCTGCACCATGTAGTAGCCAAAATGAGCTTTTTGAAAGCAGCAAATCAGATGGTGCCTCTCCATGGATTAAAGCCCTTCATTGGCTTTCCCCTGCTCTTAGACACCAGTGAAGGTTCTTTGTGGTCTGCTGCATCCTGCATGATCTGGCCCTGGCCCACCTCTCCAACCTTGCTTTCCGCAGCCTTTCCCTTACCTCTGGCTTCCTTCCAGTTCCTAAAATGTGCCAAGCTCTCTATGCTCTAAGGTTCTTCGGCTAGCTGCTTGATCTGCCCAAAATGGTCTTCCTCTGGAACTTCACAGGGTTACTCCCCCTTAATCAGGCCTCAGTGCAAATGCTACCTCCTCAGTGAAGTCCCTTCCTTCAGCCTACTTCAGTTATCACTACATCATTGTCTTATTTTCTTCATTGCTTTCAACTATTTGAAGCTATTTGTTTGCTTGTTGCAGATTTTCCCTATGAAGACTTAAGTATAGGAGGGCAGGTGCCTTATGTGTCTTGTTTATCATTATGCTCCCAGCCCCTCACTGCAGGTGATCAAGGAATAGTCAATAAATGAGGCAAAGTGTAAAGCGATAGACCAAAAATATTAATAATAGTGATCATCACTGGGAGAAAGATTTTCGGTGATTTTAACTTTTTCTTTTTGTTCATTTGTATTTCCTAATTTTTCTGCAAAGATCATCTGTTGCTTATATAATTTATCCATTACTCCAGTGTTTAGCCGGGCTTACAGAAGTAGTTGTATGGATGGCAGACATCAGCAGAGAATGCATTGTCTGCATACTTGATGCTGTGCATTGGGTGCTGAATAAACATTTGCCGAATCCATTGAAATCTTTATTCTGCGGGAAGACACTCCCTGCAAAGTTGTGTAGTTAGTTGCCCACCCATGTATTTGTGTGGGAGGCAAGGGCGTGACGTGCAGCAAGGTACAGATGCAGAGCTTTGTCTCCAGAGTTTCTGATCCTTATCCCCAGTCGTGTGCTTTTCTCTGGCAATCACAGTTATTTTGCTCCAGGGAAAATCCATTATAAACAGCAGCACATGGGGCACTAGAGTGTGGTTTGCTTCAGTACACACTGCTTTTTTCAAAGATAATGTGGAGCCTGTAGTTCCACATGGAACTGAGAGACCGGCTGAACTGTCTGCCTGCCTGTCTTGTAGGGAAAAAAAAAAAATCTGCAATATCGTATCTATATCCTTTCCAAGTCACTTTAACAGTAACTTGGTCAGTAACAATTCTGTTTAATAGTTTTATATATTTTAGAAGTCTAATAGCCGTAATAATTACAGTCTTAAAATCAAAGTTATTTCTTGCATGCATTTGTTTTTTTTTTTTTTTTTTTTTTCATTTTGTTAAAGACTAACCCAGTAAATTGTATCCCATTCATCTCGGTGACTTAGAGTACTTCTTTGGGCTATTAAGTAATTGAATAGCTGTCCTCTAACTCAACAAAAGCAGAGTTTCCTTAGCTATGATACTGGGTGGCTTAGGCTTTGATTCATTTGTGAAGTCCATAACCTATGTTTTAATTTTAATGTTACATTCTGGAAATTTGTGCAAATTGGGGAAGGCGGGTGAGGAGAGGAAGGAATCCAAGAGTAGAAAACATTAATTTAGAGAGAGAAGGGAGTTATCTCAAACATCAGAATGTTTTTTCACATAGATTTCCATTGTTTTACATTCAGAAGATTTGGTTAGCACCAGAGCCCTATATTATGTGCATTTCCTATCTATGTAGCTTAAGTCTAACTCATGTTCTTCACAAATTTAGGTAAAGACAGCTAAGTGAAGAGTGATGAAAACTTGTTTTATTATTTATATTACAAATGCTGAATTTAGCAATTCATAGGGAAAAAAAAACTCACTCATTTTTTCCTTCAGTCCTCTGTAAGAGTAGTCCCGGAAGGCATGTGCCAAGAGCTGTAGTAATTGATGTTCAAAATCTTCTAATGGTTTGGAGCAGCAGTCTAGACTGATTCTAGAGCACTATCCAAATGGACAACTAGTTAGAGCTACTTTCCATCTGAAAATAGGCACTGCTTAAAGAACAGCACTTCATACTATGACATGTGATCATTTTGGATTGCATGTGGTTATAGCCTATATAAAAGCTGAGATGGAAACATCTATCTAACTCTGAGGTGTTTTCACTCTCACAGAGATTTTTTTACAGTTTCTTGATTTTTCTCTAACCGTTCCATCCCTAACCCCTCCTTTGGCCTCATAGAAACATGGTACACCCAATGGAATCATCCTAGAATATTTTGGATGAGATGAGCAAAGACAACTGTGAAGAAAAGTGGACTTACTCTGGTAGTTGGAATATGGTCCCCAGAAAAAGCAAAGCTGTAATGTGTGTAAATGTTGTTTGGTGTGAGACGCCAGAGGAAGAGGACAGATCCCAGTGACACAGCACCAGAAGGATGCCGCCTGCTTGGCTAAAAGACCCAGCAGTAGGGCCAGCTATTGTAAAGCCCCTCCGCCAAATGAACAGGGACCCTTCTCTGGTCACAATAGCCATTCACGCTGAGCAGCTTCATTAAATATTCAGCCTGTGCTTCCGGCAGCTCATTAGGGCCGCAATGAGCAGTGACGTGGATGCAGGAAAGCTGAGGGCTAGCCAGCATCGGAGGCAGAGTCTGAGTGAGCTGCTGATGGCTTTTCTCTTCACTGCCTGTCCTATCATGACCAGTGTATGCTCTCTGCTTTGCGTGAAATACAGGTAACAAAACCAAGCAGATGACACTTAAGGGCTTCAAGACCTTGTCTCAGATGTTGTCTGACAAGGGCCTCTGATTCTGAGTGCTTGCCTTCCTGAAGCCCTCTGACCTCTTTAAAGAGCTGTCTAAGGCTTTGGGGGCCTTTGCTAACCATGAACAATGTGGTGCTATTATGTACTTGGGCTGTTTGATGACAGTGTTGGAAGGGGATACAAGGTGTGGTTTTGAACTTGGTACTGTGGGTTTAGAATAGCAAATTATTTCTCTGCAACATATCAAATTTAGAACTATTGTGGCGAGAATCCTAGCAGTCTGTGTGGCAGGTTTACTCTCTACCATGGTTTTACATATTTGAGTGGTTAAACACTAAGCCTCTCCCTTTCAACTATCAGGTTGGATGTGGTGATGATTAAAAAAAAGAAAAAAAGGAAATTCTTTAGCAATTTGAGGCCCCTCCAATAGGCTGAATGTTGTCCTTGTATCTTGCTACTTTTACATGAGTTTGCTGTGTGATCTTTAAGCTGGGAAGATCTGTAAACGAAGATTTAAAAGATGAGGAACTCAGACAAAGTGTATTCTATTGTTGACATGTTTTTCTCCTTTCTACACAGAAAATGTTTTCAGACTGCTCATTTCTATGTGGAAGACAGCAATTCACCTCGAGTGGTCCCTAATGAAAGTATTCCTATTATTCCTATTCCAGGTAAGTAAGACACTCTTTTATTTCCAACGAGCTAATTGTTTTTCTCTTTTATTCTCAGTTTTATGTGCTAAAACAACAAAATATTATTTTATACCCTTTTAAAGCTTGCCCTAAGATATCGTTAACTAGGAGTGATTGAATGAATACTCCTTTACATATCTGCAAAGTAATCAAACTCTCTTGAGAGGAACAAATAACTGAGGTAATGTAATATGCAGTCACAGAGAGGGAAGGGAAGTACAGTAGAAAAAAGGGAAAACCATAACAAAACATTCTTAGTATCTATTGGGATTAAATTTTATTTGCATGGGCAATTTGTGCTTAGATTTTAAAATCACAATTTCTGACGCGTTTTTTTAAAGGTGATATTTTTCTAAGATTCTTTCCTCTGAAAACCACGTATCTTAATGTTGAAAGGTCTGGTCCTTAGGATGGTTGTGTGGCAATATTAGGGATGCATTACTGGTCTGGTGGATTATTTCACTTGTCCTTTGGTAAAAGGATAAAATGCTTGGTTAGTATTGGGGTAGGGACTGGAGGAATGTACACTATAGTGAATCCTAGCAAACGCCATAGAGATTTCAAAGTTCAGCAGTGGGTTCGCTGTCATCGGATGTGGGATTTGACAGTCTCACCCACCATTTTTATTTGGCACCCCTTCTTGTTTGCCAGGTTTTAACTTTCTGTGTCCGGGTTTCATTATGTGCTTCCAAATACGTATCTTCAGATATTTTAGATACATCTATCCTCTCGATATTACTATTTTGCCAACGGAAACATCACTTTGATTATAATGCCACCCCTCCTCCACACCTGAAGCTCCCTCATCCTGCTGATCTGCCCTATTCTTCCCAGTGCTTTCCACCAACTAATGTGCTATATATTTTACTTTGTTGTTTCCTCTCTTCCCGCTACGATGAGAGCTTTCTAAGGGCAAGTGCTCAGTGCTAAAATAATTTCTGGCACATAGTAGGTATTCTTTAGGTACTTAAATGAATGAATGTTATAAAAATGTCTTTAAAGTTCTTGAAAGCTCTCGGCTGTGACACTCAGAGGTACAGTCATTCTTTGGGCATCATGGAGAATTGCTTCTGTTGTTTGCAGATTGTCACTAGGTGTGGTTACGGTTGTGGACCTAACTGCCCTTTTATGTGTTAGTGTATTGCTAAGTCATCAGCTATTACTGGGATTGTCCATGTTTTGTACATTCTAGTCAGCTTTTCTCACTAAAACTTGTCACACAGAAACAAGAAGATTAACATAGAAGTCTCTGATTAAGTTCCTGTTGGATCATTTTGTGGCTGCTAAATTAATTCCCATACAGACGGTTTAAGTTTTGTGTCACTGTACGTTCTCCACTAACCTTACCGCTTTATCCTTGCTGAAGGAAACTGCTTTTCTTTTGAGAGTAGAGAAAGCAGACAGGGATCATCAGTCTTCATCACCATGAGAGAAGAAGCTTCACTGAATCTACTGGATTTGTACTGTGGTGTGCATATAAAGTTTCCTCTTGCACTACCTACAATGTGCGTTGACCACTGGAAAATTCCTGGCAGTTTTTCTCCCCTCTGACCTGATTGTCTGACAGACTCAGTTGTTCGGTAGCTGTGTAAATGAAATCCATGTTTAAAGAGTTAAATGGTGAAATACCGGGCTGTTTTCCCTTTTCTTTTTTACTACTGGATTAGGAATCAGAATACCTAGGTCCACCCTGAAATCTTTGGTCAGTGCCTTAACCTCTCTGAGCCTTAGTTTCCAGAATCTGTAAAGTAAATAGGATGCCTATTCTCCTTGCCTTTTGAGGTAACTGTTAAGACCCCAGTAGATGCTATGTGTAAAAGCACTTTGGAAACCATACATTAAGCCAGAAGTGTAAGCTGTTGCAACTTTCGTCTCAGATCACGGTGGTGTTAATCCCGGAAGTCATGGAGAGAGAGCATTTGCATGACTCTTATGTTAAAACTGTGTTTCCAGAATACTGAACTATGTCTACTGGGTGTGCCCTACCTTGCATCGCTCTTCTTTGATGTAGGTTTTAGAACTTTTAATTCACTAGGATCCTCTGAATATGTCTCGTCACACCTTTGAGTAGGTGTCTTAGACCAGAAATTGCTTTTGAATGTTTTCTGCCTCATTTCCAGTTACCTATTTAATTAAGAAAGTAAATACTCAAAACCCAGAGGCATGTCTTCAATGTGTGTTTTTCCTTTTTAAATATGAGTTTCTTGGAATTCATACTCACTCACTAGTAATATGACTATATAGAAAGACGATTCCTTCACATTTTCCACTGACTGAGAAGCCCATGTATTCAGTCGTATACCTCACTTGGCATAGGCGAGGCATTCTTGACAAGCTGTAACATGTTTATAAAAATGAATTATTATAAATGTAAGGCAGTGTGATGTTACAGGGCTTACCTAACGAAATGACGAGTGAGGCTAATCTGCTTTCTCAGGTCTTCATAGCTAACATAGCCTTCCTAGGAGCATGCCTAAACAAACGAACTTACTTCACCCTTAACTGAGAGTTACCCTAAATGACCTTTTTTTAAAAACCTTCCACTTGATCACAATCTTGTATATTTGGTAACTAAAATCCCACAGTACTATTTAATAGTTACCTTTGGAAAATATTGTAATTCACAAAGCACGTGAAACAATTCAATTGTTCTATTATTTAGGATTTCTTCTAGTTACAGCAGTACATCTGTGTGTCTCATGTAAGAAAAACAATTTTTAACAAACTTGTGAGTTCTCTTCACTTTACCAAAGCTTTTACCACAACTTTTCTTTAATGGAGACCTCCATGGAATAATTTTAAATGATTTCTCTTAGAAATGACCTAATTGTTATTCTTTCTAAAAATAGGAGATTTATAGAGCTCCTGTGAAGCATTTATTCTACCCATTCAGTCTCAGTTATATTTTATCCTTGCTCAAAACCTAAATAACAAGAGTACTGGGTGCCAAATTTACCAAATTATTTTACCACTTGGCGCTCTTCACTCTCTAGACAATGGATATAATCAGTAAACTGAATCATTATACTGGCTAAAAATATGTGCAACAGGGTAAAGTTGAAAATTCAAGTACCAAGCTGTTGTAAAAACAGAGCTCCAGTGTCATCACTGTGGAATACACAATCCACTGTGTTCCTAGAACTTATTTTACAGTTAGCCTCTTAAAAAATCATTATCTAGTAATTATTGAGCATTTATCAACAAAGTATATTATGTTTATTTTCACTACAGTCCTATCGAGACAGGTACAGTTGATACCCCCATTTTCTGGACGAAGAAACTGAGGTTTGGAGACATGTATTTAATTTGCGCAGGGTTACAGAACTAAACAGTGGCACTAACACGAATTCTCTGTGTGACTTCAAAGCACAGATGCTTAGAAATGGCTCTGCCACCTCTTGGCATACGACTGTGACAGTTTTGGTATCTCAGGACTCAGAGTCTTCATTTGGGTATTGCTTCATTAAATCAAGGCATCTTCGAATACATGGGAATATTCTCTTTAGTTTTTGCTGACTTCTTGATCGGTAACTTCTCTCACAAACACTGACCATTTGCTTTTCCATGAAATTCTCTTTAATCCTCCTGGAGGGCATAATTCTTGGGTTGACATTTTCCCTATATTAAAAAATCTCCCCTCATCTCTGTTCTCGACTTATTTTTATTCTTCCTTCCTGAAAGACTCAACTCAGCAAGATACCCATTCCCTGCACAAAAACAGGTCTATGTGATTGAAATGATTTAGAAAACAAGTCACAGCCATGTTGAACAAATTTAGACACTGACTTAGCAACTTTGGATGATTCTGCTGTGGTTAAAATTCATAAACAAATAGCTTGTATCTTTAAATCCCAAAGCATCCGTGGAATCAGTAAGTTATACTGACTTTTGGAAACTATTATAAAATAGGCAAATGATTAAGGAAAGCTTTGCTAACCCTGTGATACTCATCCCTTTGAGATGGCAGTTTATAGGAGTTTTTGAAGAATTTTGAATGATCAATTTTACTAATTCTAACATGAATTTAGGATCTTCAGTGTGTTCTTCTGGTTTAGTATAGCAAAGACAGCTTTCAAGAATGAAGACTTTTTTTTTTTTTCCTCCTGGCCTCACCTAACACTTATGCAAAATGTAGAAATGCTAGACAGAGACCGTGAATATATATGGTGGCTGAGGCCAGTTAGCCACGTTAGGAAAAAAAAAAATCACAATGCAAGAGTATTTATCCAGCTTGAAAGAAGTGCTTTTGAGGTTGGCTTCCAGGATTCCAGTCACTATAAAGGTAGTATCAATTCTTTTATCAGATAGATTTTGAATTTTGGTGCCTGTTCCATGCATGACCTATGTGAAAAGCAGGAGCAGGAGAGATAAACTATGACTTCTGTGGGAGAATGAAAGGGGCTTTGACTCAATATATTTCACTAAGGGTTTTTCAAAAGAAAATGTTCCCTGGTTACTGGTTTCCCATTGTTTCGGTGTGAGGATAAAGCATCATTGAATGCAGTAACCCAGCTGTCAATCCCCTCATATGCTTTCCATCTTCTAAAATACTGGTCACAAATCTCTTTAAGATCCATAATATTCTTAACATTGACAAGTACTTTTAAAAGTCTAGTGACTCAAGAATACGCTTTTGAAAAACTTGAATAATATTTCAGTTATTAATGAAGCATTCACTACATTGTTATTCTTTTAGACTTTCATTATATATAAACTTCTGAAAATCAGAACTTAGCTCATGAAATTAACCTGTTATAGAGTGTATTGAAAGGGCGTTCCTAAATATGTGCACTGTCAGACACAAATGTCCTTCCAAATGTTTTCTCTGGAAATTAGAAAATCTAACTTTCTAATAAGAGCGTTACAAAACAAAATGTTGCTGCTAACCAGTAGCTTAGAAATTTAGAAATGATTCATGCCTTTCCAGCAGTTAAAATACATCTTAATAATTTGAAGGTCACTGGCTTCAGCAGGGTGCC